CAGTTAGCTTAACGCAGGACACGTAGCAAGTTTTTTTTTTTTAATGATATAATAAAAAATAAACAGAATAGAAAAAGAATAGAGCAAGCTAGTGTTAGAAACCTTTTTTGCTTTTGTTAACTGTATAATAAATAAAGAAAACCAATAGATGGAATACAAATAGATTAGAAAAGCTAGTGTTAGTTTTTTTTTTTTTTTAAAGGAAAACAAGAAGTCAGTAAATGAATAGATTGCAAGTAGGGACAAGTTTTTTTTTATTTTTTTTTAAATAGAATTAGAATAGAGAGTGTTAGAGTTAGAGGGTCAAATACATAAGGCTATTATGACTTATATAGTATAATTTAGGTGAATATGGACCTCATACTCAAGAAGGAAAAAAAGAGAGAAAAAATATGCAATTTGGTGTAGTTGCAGGAAATATATATATCCCAAAAAGAAAGATGAAATTCTGATGTAAATCAATGAGATCTTTGATAGTATACCAGACGCTTGCATATAAATGTCAGTTGTCACTTTCTCGCAATAATGTCTTTGTAAGATGATATTTAAATGCTTGAAGATGACAGAGATGCACAAATAATTGTTCTTCAAAAGCCTGTTGTATCTTATACTCCCATTTAAACACGATTTAAAAATGATGGATAATCAAGTAAACTTAAGTTGCTTTAGCCCAGTAAGTGTTCAACTTGAAATATTACTATCAATATAAGTCATTGTTTAGTTTATAAAAATCAGCTTTCACAGCAAAAATACAGGAGTACCATGACCTGAAAGAGAAAGGTTTTTCTTTCTAAAGGTACTAAAAGGCCTTTTACTTGCTAAAAAGTATGAACTATCAATCAGAGGGCATGTAAAATATTGTGTACTTCAGGTTTTTCAGCAGTTTTGATCATGCTGATCATTTAAATGACATAGAATTTTGAGTGTCAAATATGATACAGTAGGCTTAAATGGCAGTTATTGTCCAATGCCATGAGAATAGACTTTATGCCATTTAGTCAAATGTCTAATCATCCAAGGACCTGCAAAATCACAACTTTCATATTATATCCTTACTTTTTGCACGAATATAGCATCTTAGATTTTGTCTGCATTTTTAGCAGACAGATCCCATCTTTGTGGAGACGGCTAGGACGTGAGGTGGGTTGATTGATTCATGGCCCGCCGCTGATCAGAGGGAAGCCAGATTTATTAGTAGGCTTGACGACAAAGGGAGGAAGAGAGTCCACATATGCTAATTCACTGGCTGAACGATGATCAAAGCTGAAACATGCTGGGCCCCACTGAACGCCCCAGGGCAAACCATGCTCTCCAGCAGTCTACTCAAAAGTGCAGGAGAGGAGTAAACAGATTAGAAAAATCAATACACCGTGTTTGGGGCTTGGCTAGATGTATGGCTCCAAGGGAGCTGGCCCTTAAATGCATACTGTAAAATTGTATCAGGAAAGTCGAGTTCAAGCTTCGATAACCAGTCTAAGACTGTCAATAAATACAAACAGATAGACTGTAAAAAAATAAGTTGATTCAACTTAAAATAATTTGTAACCTGGCTGCCTTAAAATGTTGTTAAATAAGCTAAAAAACTTCTGTTGTTTAAACATATGTTGGAGTTCCTTAAAGGTGCCATAGAATGGAAAACTGTATTTACCTTGGCATAGTTTAATAATAACAGTTCTGTACATGGAAATGACACACCGTGAGCCTCAAACACCATTGTTTCCTCCTTATGAAAATCTCGTGCATGCAAAAGACCACTGAAAAATAGGCGAATCAGAACATAACACCGACTGTGACGTTAGTCGGGATCACCAATAGTTACGCCCCCAACATTTGCACATACCCACCCATGGTCTATGCCAGCTGCCAGCCGAATCATCAGAAGTTCTGCAGGTATTGTGAAGAAACAAGCGAGGATAATAGCGAAAATGGCAGATCATGGAAATAAATGTAATGTTCCAGGCTGTGCAGGGGATGTGAAGTGCAGGGATGGATTGGTGTCTGTATTCATGAAAGGCACGGAAAACAAATAACGCGCGTTCTAATAAAATAACACGAACCACTTAAGGGACATGGTTAGCTGCTTGCTAGCGGTAGCCTGTTACATTACAATACATAAGATTTAACTTACCACATAAACCGAGTAAGGAGAGATGACTGAGGATGATGGTGAATGATTTACAGATCCTGAGCACCACTGACAAGCATCTGATCTTGTCAAATGTGTGGCAAGTACTGCCGCTGTAGTTTACACAGAGCAGGTGCTATTGCAAATCTCGAAAGTGAAAGTAAAAAGCAATCGTGCATTCGAAAGCAGTTTCAATGCCCCGCATATTAATAGCAGCTTCCCGGCTTTCCTTCCTGCTGTGTGAGCTACTGAAATGAGCCGCACTGTGAAACAGCCAATCAGAGCAGAGCTCAACATTATTATTCATGACCCTTCCAAATAAGGTAAAAACGGACAATTTCATTCTAGGGACAAATCCTAGGGTTGTAAATGGACATGTAAAACCGTTTCTGGAGACGTTTTGCCCTTACCTAAGCCACATACCTTCTATGTAGATATCAGAGAACAATTTAAAATATTGTATCTATGCATTCTATGCAACCTTTAAACCTATAATTAATAGTTAGGTTAACAAAGGTGAAGCTGAATCAACTTTATACTTTGTCTAACCAACAAGTTTTTAGTTAGCCCAACAAGACAAGAAAGTTCTGCTAACCTAAATCCAAGTTGAAACAACATAAAATTAGTGAGATCAACAAATGTTTAGTTCCTTAAACCTAGAATTATTAGTTGGGTAAACAAAGGTGAAGTTGAATCAACTTTATACTTCATCTAACCAACAAGTTTTTAGTTAGCTCAACAAGACAAGAAAGTTGTGCTAACCTAAATCCAAGTTGAAACAACATAAAATTAGTCAGACCAACAAACATTTAGTTGTTTAAACTAAGCATTTTGTTGAATAAATGTATAATTATAAGTTGTGCAATCTAAATAAAAATTGGCTAAACTAGGAATAGGAGATGCGTCGTCCATCTTTTTTTACAGTCTATGGTCACAATCAAGATGCCCATGTCAATGCCCTTCAACAATTCTTAAATTTCAGGAGATGGCTGAAAAAACAACAAAAAAAGAAGAAATTCTTCACATACAATTATAACAAATCAATATAGAATACTACTGTACATTACTTCAACTACAGTAATACATTCTATACATTTTGTTAAAAATATTTAATAACAAGCAGCAATAAAGAGGCTAAGTAAAAAGAAAAAAAGCGCAAGTTACATGAGCATGGCTAGGCATATCAGACCAACTGCAACAAGTACCGCTATTTCAAGAATATAGCACTTGTGGTGTGCGTCAGGTTCGGTTGATGTCAGAGTTTGGTTCATTTGGATCATGTGAACTCTGTTCTTCCACTGTTTATCTGACATTGTAGCCATTAGGGATGTGTGAGACTTGTCGACAAAGTTCTAATGCTGCTAGTCGTTGCTGAAAATACTAGTGGTTTAAATTTTTTTTATTGGCACATTCTCGCATATATTGCTTCATATTTTTACGAAGACTATATTCAAATTACTGTCACTTTAATGTTACGTTACATACAACATATTATTAGTAAATAAATATTTACTTACATTATCAGTCTTGGCCACGCGTTTACGAGAGTATCATGACATGTGTGGTGCTGCTGACGCAGGAGCCAGCATTCTGACACCAAACATGCATGTGCTTTGTTTACGAGCAGAGGAACACACATGCGATGTGGTACTCTTGTGAACGTGCATCACAGAGTAACACTGAAAAGAAGAAATTGTTGAATAAAGATGTTATTTTTGTTTTCTTTGCACACACAAATATTCTTGTAGCGTCATAAACTTACGGTTGAACCACTGATGTCACATGGGCTATTTTAATGATATCTTTACTACTTTTAAGATCTTGAAGGTCTTATGGGTTTGGAACAACATGAGGATGAGTAATTAGAGAGAATTTATATATTCCCAAAAGTCTTGGGGATCATCACGATGTTTTCTGGCAAAACTGAGACGAGCCTTTGTTCTTTTTGCTCAGCAGCGGTTTTCGTCTTGGAAGTCTGCCATGCAGACCATTTTTGCCCCGTCTCTTTCTTATGGTGGAGTCATGAACTCTGACCTTAACTGAGGCAAGTGAGGCCTGCAGTTCTTTGGATGTTGTTGTGGGGTCTTTTGTGACCTCTTGGATGAGTCGTCGCTGTGCTCTTGGGGTAATTTTGGTCGGCCGGCCGGCCACTCCTGGGAAGGTTCTCCACTGTTCCATGTTTTTGCCATTTGTGAATAATGGCCCTCACTGTGGTTCGCTGGAGTCCCAAAGCTTTAGAAATGGCTTTATAACCTTTTCCAGACTGATAGATCTCAATTACTTTCTTTCTCATTTGTTTCTGAATTTCTTTGGATCTCGGCATGATGTCTAGCTTTTGAGGATCTTTTGGTCTACTTCACTTTGTCAGGCAGGTCCTATTTAAAAGATTTCTTGATTGCGAACAGGTGTGGCAGTAATCAGGCCTGGGTGTGGCTAGAGAAGTTGAACTCGGGTGTGATAAACCACAGTTTTAACAGGGGGGCAAACACTTCTTCACACAGGGCCATGTAGTTTTGGATTTTGTTTTCCCTTAATAATAAAAACCTTCATTTAAAAACTGCATGTTGTGTTTACTTCTGTTATCTATGACTAATATTTAAATTTGTTTGATGATCTGAAACAAAGTGTGACAAACATGCAAAAAAAATAAGCAATCAGGAAGGGGGCTAACACTTTTTCACACCACTGTATATATATTATATATATATTATAGAAATTACATAATTACAGATAAAAGTAAAATAAATAAAATCTAATATAAAATGACATTAAAAATAACATTTTATGAATCACCAAGTACCACAATTTCAGCCAAAAATTTTCTGCTTAAGGAAAAAGTCACCTACACCTTGCAAATTTTCATTTTAGGGTGAACTATCCCTTTAACACTATTTTGGCTTTATTTTAGTATTGTGGCATTGTGTATCATGACATACATTAAGTGCTGTGTACTATATTGAAAACATACGTGTTACAACCGCAGATAAGATTTGTTCTTCTATTACCAGGACCACATCACTGCAGATTGATGGTGCTCATTTTGGTCACCCACAACTATAACGCCAACAGACATGTCCTTGATGAATTCCTCTTGAGAACCTATGTGCTTTAATAAAAACAAAGTGAAGCGTTAAAATATGCCTTACAATATTAACAGTCACGGACTCCAATAAATACGTGCACTTATAAAGTAAATAAATTTACTTACAATTTCTCCAAGCTCTACAATGCGAGTCATTCCCATTATGTCTGCATAGCACTTTGATAGATACAACTGCAAAAGGACTTGATGTGCATCCACAAGAATTATGTGCTGATCTTCAGTCATTCCAGAATATCATAAACATGGAAAATATTTCCATATAATATTTATATGGAAAATACTGTGGAACCGCGTGTATTTTGAGGCTTAAGAGTGCCACGAAACTAACACTGGCATACATTTAACTAGAAAATACGACGCTGTAAACCATACTTGTACTCTTCTTATGGCGCTTTTCCACTGCATGGTACGGCTCGGTACGGTTCACTTTTGGGGGGTTTTCCACTGGGTACAGTACCTGGTACCTGGTACTTTTTTTAGTACCACTTCGGTTGGGGTTCCAAGCGAACCGTACCGTTACCAAAACGTGACGTGTAAACTCTGCTGATCACGGATTGGCCGGAGAGAATCGTCACTACCTGCATCACTGAACTTGCGACACAAACACAAAAGAACCGCTAGATTTAAATCAGCACAGCCAGCGAAGGATCGAATGCAACTGTTTTGAACGAGCGCACCTTTTTTTAACAACCAAAAAGTGGCTGTTCCCCCTGTTGAGGAAGTACAGACATTGCTCTCGTTGATAGCAGAGGAGCGGATCCAGTGAGAGCTTGATGGGGCGACGCGGAATGAAAAAGTTTTGTAGGAGTCGCGGCAGTAGAGGCGGCGCAACTATAATGACATGTGAATAATCCCGCCCACTCTAAAGCGATACTAAACTGCAGTGGAAACGCAAACCGAGCCGTGCCGTACCGTACTGAGCCGTACCGAGCCGAGTCGTACCACGCAGTGGAAAAGCGCCATTAGACAACATACGTAATTGTACACGCTAAACCAATAAATACAACTATTTACTAACCAAATGTGTTGGTTGAGAACATTTTCAAGCTCTGTGGAGAAGCTCACCAAGATGACTGACGAACGTCTTCTTTCTGCAAGTCTTCACGAGATCTTCTTATTCTTTACATTTTATTGGCGGTTGGCAAACCAACTGAAAGGTGCATTTACCGCCACCTACTGGACTGGAGTGTGGGCAGTACGTTGAAAGAAAGGACAAGGAGAGGAGGACAAAAAAAAATGTATACACACACACACACACACACACATATATATATATATATATATACACACACACACACACATACATACCTTCTTCCCCCCCTATATATCTCCATCAAAGTCTTTCACTTATCCCAGTATTTTCTTCACGAGATCTCGCGATAAGTGACGTTAAGAACGTGATATCGTTATTAAATTGATTCAACACATTTTTTAAGTTGAGGGGGCAAATTGCTAGTTTTGTCAACTTACGAACTAGTTGAGACAATTAAAATTTTAAATATTAAGTTGAATGAACAAATTCATAAACTGCAAGTTGAGTCAACTTAAAAAAAGTAATTGAAACAACTAAACTGCGAAATAATTTTTTACAGTTTGTTGACACTGCGTTGGATGGCACAGCAGGTTTCATTACAGTATTATTTACAGTGTTGCTTTTTTGCAAGAAAATTAACGCTTTTATTTAGCAAGGACACATCAAACTGATTAAAAGTGACAGTAAAGACATGTTACAAAATATTTCTGTTTTAAACAAATGCTGCTCTTTTGAACTTTTTGTTCATTAAAGAATCCTGAAAAAAATGTCACCGTTTGCACACAACTGTTTTTAACATTGATAATATGGTAGTGTGTGTTACTCAAAATCCAAAACGGCTCCAAATATGTTTGGCTCACATGATGCTGCTGAAGTATGCAAGTTGGACATCAGTTGTTGAGCGTCAGGAGCTCTTTTCCTTGAGTTGCTGTACTCATGACTGTGCAGTAAAATCTTCAGCTCGTCTCCAGTTTCATTCTTGGCGTGTGAAGCATTTCTTTGATAGCAACTGGTCTGGATTTCAAAGCACAAGTGAATGATGTGTCTACTCGCACTGTCAGACCCTGAATCCATTATATGTTCTTCACCTCCAGTTCTTCAACCCAGTTGTGTGCGCACACCTGTATTCTCCATGGCCCTCACTCTCCGGAGTTATGGCTCCCAGAGGATCAGCTGTCACTTTCAGCTTCTACCTGCTCACCGCACTTAAACTTCCTCTTTGTCGTGCTTGCTAGGACTCCTTAACAGCTCTCTTGTCTGAGACTATTCTTGCCATAAATATGTAATTAATTACTCTCAATTAAGGGTGTTCTGCAGATTATCAAGGGTGGTTAGCGTCTCTCTTAAGTGTCACTTTCTTTGAAAAAAAAAAGAAAATAAAAAAATAGCTGCAGCTGAATAATGAAAATGTTGGTTTTCTTTTCTCTTTCATGAAAAATTCTGTCAATTGTTTTGAAAGGTTATTTGAAATGACTTATCCCCCTTAGCTTGGCGTCTTTTAACTTCCTACTTTTTAAGATGAGTAACTTGCCGTTATTATTTTTGTTTAATCTGCTAATAGATGTTTATCCCCTCAGGCTAATGTCTGAAAGTAGCTATCAGTTTTACTTATTTATTATGCACTTTTATCTACATAAACGGCATGGAACTCCAGCAGGACGTTCATGTGTGCTCTTTCTGTTCCTTTTCCAGCTGTGGGTTTGAAGCAAAGCAGGTCCATATTTTAAGAAAGCAGTTTTGCAGGCACCTGTCATGAACTCAGCATTGCATGATTGGCAGCTAACAGGATGTGATGCGTTCCTGCAGGATGATTGGCAGATAACTTCAGAGCTACTGAGTGGAGACTATGTTTAATTAGAGGGCTATTAGTATGCTGTTGAATCACAGTGTGGAAGATCTTCTGAACACCCCCTCCACATATTCGTGATCCTATAGGTTTGTTCTGCTTTATCTGTCATCATCTTTTCCTTAAAGGGATAGTTCAAATAAAAATGAAAATTCTGTCATCACTTACTCACCCTTGTGTATTTCTAAACCGGTATGATTTTCTTTCTTCTCCAGATCACAAGAAGAGAGATTTTTACTTTTTATTTTGGCTATACAGTGAAAGTCAGTGGGGTCCAGTGTTGTTTTGAATCCCACTGACTTTCATTGTATGGACAAAAATTGTTGAAACTTTCTTCAAAATATCTTCTTTTATGTTCTTCATAAGAAAAAAAAGTAATGCAAGTTTGGAATGACACAAGGGTGAGCAATTATGACAGAGTTTTAATTTTGTATGAACTATCCTGTTTAATGACACATACAACTCAGTTGTAAAAATCATTTAAGTAAGAAAAACAAAAACATAATCGACAAAATTTGATTACAAATATTTTATTTAGAGCTGTTTTTTTTTATGTCACAAAGTCCAATGAATGAGGTGCATGCAAGTTGCTGGAAAATAAATATTCTCAAACAGAATTGAAGCACAGTTTTTCATAAGAGTTATCCATCTTTTTCTTATATTAAATAACTAAGGAGTTTAACTTGCATTACTGAGTGTTAAAAGGGTAGACATTGATGAGAAATATCAACAGAAATGAGTAATTGCAGCTGATCAATTATGAATGGGGTTGCTGGGATTGCCATTACTGTGGTGAAGTTATCCATCATTACTGGCCTGTGATAAAAGTGCTATTGCATTTGTACACCCGTACCACTGGTCTGGTACCCACAATGCTTTGATGTAGTGAAGGCCTGTTACCCCTCAGTGATACTCCTGACTCCATTTAGTTATTTATATGTTTCTGGAAAAGAAGCGTAGAGACATTTCAGCTGCCAAGCTCAACTTCAGCTTCAAGCAATAAGTTGGAAGGGCCCATCACAGCTGAAAATAGCTAAAACCACGCTTATGCTCAGCGTTAGTATTCAAATCTCTTCTAAACATCCTGACTGAATAGTCAACAGCGTAATATGTTATCTGTTGCTTGGCTATTGAGGTTATAATAAGAATATTTTACCTGCTACAAAGCCTCCGTGGTATCCTTTCTCCTTTTCCTGATGTTGCCTGTTCAGAGCTTGGCTTTTCTACCCCATCTATCTCTCTCCCTCTTTTCCCCTTCATGTCAGAACAAATGCTTATTTATACTGCCAGGCAAAACAGCTGTTTGGAGGCACTAGTCGACTGGGTGACAAAAACAGTCTGAATGTGTAATGAGAAGAACACGGCAGCTTGTCTCCACGCTCTGCGGGACGCCTCACTCTGCAAAACAAATAAAGGCAACAAAACGAATGGAAACAATGTTGGAAAGTGCTGTGGCAAAGTTTAATGTGCTCTCTAATTACATTTAGCCACAGTAGCGGATAGAGTACATGGACGCAGAGTGAGAGGGTTGGGGGTGAATCAGCGGTTGTTCGGCTGCCGCCACATTCGGCGGTGGAGGTCAGCGAAAGGTATTTGTTTCCAATCGAGGCCCATTGCAGCAGAAGATATCCGACAACAGCATAGGGAATCAGTTTAGTCAAGCGTATGCTGTGCTTGATTGTTCTACGCAGGCTTTACCGTATTTGCTGGTAATTGGGAGTGCAACCGGTCCGCTGCTGTAATTAGTGCGAGCGCTGCCTGATTACACTGTGCCGATCACATTTGGACCACTCTGATTTCAGAAGATCTGTCGGTTATTTTCCTTTTTCTAATGTCATCCTTGTTTAATTTGCTTTTTTTTTTTTTTACTTTTAACACTTTCAATATATGTATTGCTAAGGTGATATTTATTGATAACATGCTCTATAGCAGCAGGCATTGAAAGTGTTGTCACATTAGCAACATTTTAGTGAAATTTCGTGGGCGAAAATAGGTCACTTAAGTCACTGTAAAAGCAAGCAACTTTCTGTCGGCCGAGAAGGCAAATTCATGTGACCAACATGAACACAAGTGGAATCTTAGAGGGAAACTTTTCTGTTCTCATGTGAAACTCTGTATATTTCTGATTTCTATTGAAATTAGCCTACTTCATCTGCAAAATTACTCAGAGCAATGGTAAATGTGATCACACATTTATAGGCAAAGCTTATTAAAATTATATAGTTATAATATAGTTCAATGCAGTGAATTCACATGACCAACTTGGAACATGAGCATAATCTACATGGGGAACTCTTCCGTCTTCATGCGAAACTCAAATATTCCTAGTGAAATGACTGGATTTCACCCGTGAAATTGTGCCGTGCAACAGTAAATGTGACTGCACCTTTAGGCATATAAAAAAGGTTATTATTCTATATAGTTAGAACTGTTTTTGTAATTTAACATTTCTTTGCTCCTGACATGGCATTTAAAAAAAGCACCAGGCCTTTGTAACAAGGGAGAGGTGAAATGGTGCTAATGTTAAGTGATGCTACAGACAGTTTGATTTTCCCTTAAGAGGTCTGTTTATTTTATTCAAGTGATCGTTTGTGGCGGGTCCGTGACGCATGACTTTCTGTGCCAGAGGGACTGTTGAAACAAAGGCCTGGAGCGTGTCTTCTCCTAGCCGGATCCACCCCGGTGTCCTCACCATCTCCTGCACGGCACGAGAAGCCCTCAGGGAGCACCCTGGGAAGACACGACTTTAATAATTAAAAAAGCACATGGACCATGATTAGCTTATTAGGGCAAGGGTAACTAATTACCTAATTTGATTGTCAAAGGGGGCAGAAGGGGGCAACGACAGGGAAAGATCTGAATCATATGGTCCCCGTGCAGCAAGAGGAACAGGGGGATGCCACAATGCTGGAACAGTCTCTCTCTCTCTCTCAACCTGTTGCAGTGTGCCTCACGGCATCCCTCCCCCGTCCTGCTGTTCAGGTTCATGTGACATCTGCTCCGAGACACTGCGTGTCCCCCCCGTGAGACACGCCTCCCCTCCTCCCACCTCATGCAGATGTTGTGGTCCCCTGGTCTGGTGCAGGACTGCGGAGCGCGTCAGGCCCGTTTGAAGTGTGATGAAACGGAATGGAGCGAGCCGCTCGGGGGCCTTGGGAGCTGGTTGAGGTGTGTGTGTGTTGGGGGTGGTTTGTTGAAGGGCCAGTGAAACTGGCTCATTACAA